CATGTCGGCAGCTTTCGGGAACGGTCCTGGCATCTTGAACAATAGCGGGAGTGACAACACTGCTGGTATCATGCCATCTTCATGGAACGACGACATGATGTGGCAGCTGTTTCAGTCGCAACCTTCTCTGGACTGGTTCAACGCTGATATATTGGATCCCTCTTGGGGTCTTGGACAAACACAGTAACTGCGAATCTGAGATACCTATTACTTCATTAATTGCACCCACACGATGACTGTGTTCACATGGCTCGGCATCCTGTTCCCGTATTCGAAGGATATGCGACGTGTGCTTTCTACTAGCGACTGTGGTCCGCGCCGCGATCGTGCGTCGGCATCGGCATCCCGCTTCGGAAGGTACTTATCGCGTGCCGCATATTGTGGGTACGGCACAAGACGCGCACAGATTCCCCGCAGTCGCGTCATGTTATAGATACCAATACTACTGTACAACGAGTACCATACTCCCTACATCGGTTCTCAGGACAATGGCTGACCAACCAGACTACGATGCAATAACTTGGCCCGTCCAACTCACGAGCAAAGTGCATCGTAAAAACAACCCTCTCCTGGATCCTAGCAACCCTACCCTTTCAGCTGCAGGCAAGACCGTCCTAATCACTGGGGCCACAGGTGGCATTGGTCAAGCAATTGCTGAAGCATGGGTAACTGCCGGTGCGAAGGCTATCGTCATAACCGGAAGGAACGAAAAGAAACTACGAGAGGTTGTTGAGAAGTTGGATGCCTTAGGCCAAGATGAGACGATCGTGCATTCGTCTGGGTCCATCGATATCACGAAGGAAGAAGATGTTGCGACGTTGTGGAAGAGAGCAGCAGAAGCCGTCGGCCGAATTGATGTCCTCGTCAATAACGCCGGATCCTTGACGCAAGCCATGATTGGCAAGTGTGAGCCAGGAAAATGGTGGCAGGATTTTGTGAGACCCCTCTCTTTCCTAGAAGCCCCTCCATAGTTACTGACACCCGCCTAGGAAGTGAACGTCAAGGCCGTGCATCTGAACGTGCACCACTTCCTCGCACAAGCGCCGGACGGCAAGGGCACCGTGATTTCGGTCTCGACCGGAACATTGGGCGACATGTATCCCGACTTCTCCTCCTACATCCCCAGTAAACTCGCGCAAACCAAGTTCATGGAGTTCCTTCATCATGAACAGCCTGACATCCGCACATTCAGCCTCTTCCCTGGCCTCGTCGCAACAGACATGCCGCCGAAGCAGTATCTGGACTTTGCCCTTGACGATCCCATGCTAACAGGAGGCTTGACACTTTTCTTGTCTACGGACAGAGCAGAGTGGTTGCGAGGCAGCATGGTGAGTGTGAACTGGGATTACGAGGAGATGGAGATGCACAAGGAAGAGATTCTGGAAAAGAGATTGACGAAGTTGGCTTTCTGTGATGCGAAGTTTGGGAAAGGAGGCCATCCTTGGGCGACTTGAATGGCGTGCAATAGCTTTGACATCCAGGGATTTTACTTCGCGTTACCAGATGACATACGTATTAAGAACTACGACTGTGCGGCTGCTTGCATTTCCCTTACAGGCCCACTCGGTATTCGTCTCTGATACAACAGATAACCCTTGTCAACCAGAATCTAATTGTACATCACTACATTACCACATAGTTAGTTCGACGACGCGGCTCCAACCATCGACATGTGTACCTTCCGAACATGGTCGTTCAATTTATCCTTTCTCGGGAATGGTCGGACACCACGGTCGCAACCCGGCACTGCGCACCAGAACATGTTGCCCGCATCTGGTGGTGCATGGGCCCCGTTATAGTGCCGCACAAGCTCTTGCCGACGACCGAAGGTACGTCCATAGCACTGAGGCTCGCTACAAACAAACATGAGCCTCCCAGTAGCGGGCACGTATCTGACGACCTCGTTCGTGTCGATACTTGGTGAGTTCGAACGATAGGTCATGAGAGGCCGCCCGTGTGGGAGAGGAGTGGATAGCGATGAGAATGCAGCCCTCGGAAGAGCTGGATCAGGAATGGGTGGTGTGTCATTGAAAGGTTGACCTCCGAAGTCAAACACTTCTGGTACTTCCAATCCCTGGAGCGCGTTGTTGCCGTCGTCGAAGGGTCGGAACGGTGGATCAATGTTGCTGATGTGAGGTCAGTCAGGATAATGGAGGCCGTAAGTCCTCAGCACGTACATGTAAGTGTCCTGGATGCGCTGAGAATGTGCATCCATCGGCTGGTAGACATCATCGCTATTCTGATGACCGTGGAATGAGCTTGTAGTTGTGGTATAAGCGTATGCTGATCCAGATTCAGCTAAACCAGCCCCATCATCATGGCCGATACCAATGGAGGGCGTGTCTGTGGCACTCCCTGGTCTGACAAAAGTCGACTGGGCTTGATTGAAGTTAGCATGGTTTGCTACAGGAGGAGCGATGGAAGGCGCTAAATGATTAGTGCATTTGTCTTATGAAAAGCCAACAATATGCTCACAAGATAACGTGGTGTAAGGTGCGTCGGGCGAGAAGTTGGGGCAGTGTAGGCATAGGGGACCACATGTGCCAGCAACATGATGCAACCAGCTGAGGTAATTGTAACTGCTGCCGTGGCTCATCATAGAAAGATGGATGGATATATGTATTCAAGATCACTGTATGGAAACAAAGCGGGCGCAAATGGAAGGGAAATTTCATATCGCAACAGGATTGCTCTCTTTATGCACCAGCTTTCTCAGCTGCAGAACACAGCTGATTTGAGCAAAAGCCAATACATGCTCATTCTACATAGCCCATTGTGCCCTCCGTGGCGTGGTGTCGTGGCGGACTGGCGAACAGTTTCTGGGGTGCATTGCGGGACCCGAGATCTCAGGTACCTACCTGGGTATCGGGTACTTAATCACACATCGCACACACGACCATCCAGTTGCGTTCAATGAACTTCGCACTCTCATTTAGTCTGCATTCATGGTAGAAATGTGATCGCTGTCTCCTGTAATTTTCTTTGGCGTCTTATTGACAACAGATTGTCTTCGCAACAGAGCCGAGTCGGAATAGACTTAGGTACCTAGGTACTTCGTCAAGCATACCTAAGTAGGCAACGACCGCCCACCAAACCGAGCAGGAGGTTTCTTACAATTAGGCGACGTGTTGATACCAAAGTCGACGACGCCCTTTGACGCAGGTATAACGGTGGCGTGCATAAAACCTGGTTCTTGGCACGTATACGAGAAGCTGACTGGTTGCGCCTGGCCTGCTGCCATGTCAGATGTTGTTCGGCTGCTGTATTACGCAGTAGCGTATCTAGCCAGGTTCAAAAGACCGCTCTATCACCCGCCTCATTTCTTGGAGATTGGCGCCCGCACCCACCAAGGTATACAGGAGCTGCGGCTCAGAGGCCTTGGCACCAGGCAGTTTCTTTTGCATGTTCATACGCTTTTGATGACATACTGAGGCTAAACGGTCTGCGTCTACGTGCCATTTTCGAAGGAACTACATAGAAAAGTTCCCGCCCCAAGCCTTACGATAAAGAGCTGATATGCGAAAGAAACATGGAAGTCATGGGCGTTCTCGTTCGGAAACGGCGACTCGATGACTGTGTACCAGAAATCGCTGCGTCGTTGCAATACAAAAAGCTCAACCCCACAATGCAATACCAAAGAAACCTCAATCTCTATCCTTGACCCTACCCGTTTGTAACCATTCAAGGTGCTCCAATAACGTATGATTAATCCTGTACAGCCGCTGTCCCCGATCATTCGTCGCCCACTTCTTCGTGAACATGTCCTTGTACGGCCAGATGTCTTGTCGAATTGTCCGCCCAGTCTTTTGCAGGTGTCTGACATGTGATGAATACTAATTTTCTTCTTGCATGCGGAGTTGAGGCAAACTTACACATAGTTCGCGTGTGCTAGGTAAAGGTATTCGACAAACGAGGTCATAATGGAGTGCGCGACCACTACATCCATCCAACTATATCCCTTTCGCCAGAAAGCCAGATATACTATGAACAAGGTAAATGTACCAACATAGCTTCGAAAATAAATATATGCATATTCATATTCTGGAAGCAATGCCTACGCAAGCCTCCGGTTAACATGCGAGTATGTCTAGAAAGAGGGTGGAGTATCTTACCTCAACATCGCTGCCATAGTTAGCGGGCAGAAGATAGATCAATTTCCTCGCAACAAAGGTGTAATAGACGAGTTGAAAGCGCCAGCCGTCAATGTTGCACCCCAACCATGTCATGCGTAGAAGAGACCTGCCCCAGAATGGACACAAGCAGACAAGGAGGCCGTAAACGACGTCCCAAGCCATGGCAGTACCCGTTCTTCCTCTGCTGAAGTGCGCAATGGAAACGCACGTAGTGCCTACAACGTAGAGACGAACAACAACCGCCCAAAGTGGCAGTGGACTGAGCAGCTGGGCATATGCGAGTATGGCGAAGATCAGCGCAATGCGTATCGCATCGCGAAGATTGAGTGGTGAAGGTTTCGAAGTCATGTCACTGTCCGACAGTACGATTATGTCGTAGGGTTGATATTTCAAGAAGCTGAAGTGTTTTGGTTTGATGAAGGGGTGGTGGGGCTTGTGTAACAGTTGATAACAAACAACACATATAACAGGCGCCTCTTGCGGGGTAGTGAACGCTAGAAACAAAGTGTCCGGCTATCATTCTCAACGGACGCTCGACTTGACAAGCCACAGACTCGTTCCATACAGCCAACATGCAAAGGAAAACCAGTGTGAAAATCAGCAAAGGCAATCTGGCATCAGGTCGTTTGGAGCTTTCGCTGCTTCGCGAAAGGGTGTAGCATCCACGCGAGGCGAAGATCTGACCTAAACCAGGACGTTGCGTGAAACATGTCAGCCGACAGATGAGCTGCATCTAAAAGTACTAACGAGGGGTATCTTTCGTTACATTCATCGTGACTCTGCATTACCGTGTCTCGTCAACCCTCTACCATGATTCCATACTTCATAAGGATGACCAGCTTACTGATCATCCGACACCCCACCTCGTTATTGCATCTCCATCTCAACCTCTTTCTTCGCCGCCACCGCCTGGCTAGGCTTTTGTCGACTTCTGCTCCTGTTCTCTGCTTTCTTTTCCACAATGTCCGCTCCCAGCCCCAAATCGACAGCCTGGTGCGACACGGGCTCAGTGGGCTGTTCGGTTTTCACTCCGGAGCTCGTATTCTCGTTGTCTTGTATAGGCTCTTCCGGCTTCTTGTCGACCGTGTCCTGAGTGACATCTTGCGCTGGTCGATCCGTGTCCATATCGGCACTCAGGTCTGAGCTTGGCTTCACAATGTCACTTGCGACGTCTTCGCTTGGTCTACTGCTTGCTGCAGCTGGACTCGCTGCTCTATTCCCGTTGCCAGTGAACCCCAATTTCTCGAAGCTCGCCATAACTCCTTGCCTTAGGTCTTGTCCCAGAGCAGCTGCGGCATCGAGGGGTTTTGGTGTGTTCGATGCCATCGGAGAACGGTCACCGACGGCGTGTGTGGGTGGAGGATGAACGGTCGTACCTGCTCCAGTCGCTCCCTCCGCGGTCTCTGTACCCGTCACGATAGGTTCTTGAACTATCGGCGTACTTGTGCCACTCCTGCCAGTACTGGCATTGCTGGTCTGTGGTGTAAGGGTCGGCGGCAATTGAGAACCAAAGCTATTCATTTCCTCATCCGTACGACCGAAACACTCAGCCCACCATCTCGCCTCTCCTTTCCGAGGGAAGATCATGCGCTCCTTGCCGCGAACAGCATCGTCGATCTCAGGTTCGTAGTTTGGATTCATGAACTCTTGCTTCCGGCACAGGAAGTAGTCCCACACACTCCTTGTTCGCTCCTTAGCCCTGGTATCTATGCGTTCCTTCTCATTGTCAAAGAGGAACGTTCCGTACTGACAAGAATAAAGATGGTAAAGTAAGCGCCTCAAGAAGCGCTCGCTGAATTCGAATCGGGTTGGGTGTTGGTAGTGCAGTTGATAAACGCAGTCGAGGAATTGATGGAAGACTGGTGACAGCTCGTTCACCTTGGTGATGCGATGCTCTTCCGCAGCTCCGATCTGGGCCGGCTTTGCTGAAGTAGGTTCTGCAACATCTGTGCCGTTTTCCGGTACGTTCGTCTCTGGCAGCTGGTTGAGAGACTCGTTCGACTCGTTGTGTCGGTTGAAGAGACCCCGCGCACCACGGAGAGCATTCTCAAAGGGGTTGCTGCCTCCAGTGCCGTCGCTCTTGCGCTCAATCTTCTCGTTCTCTATAGTGAACCATTTTTCGTGACTCAAGAAACCCGATCGGTGTCGGAACATGTGTCCAAACGATAGCCAGTCTTTCTCGACAAGGACAATGAATCCTTCTAATGTCCGGTAGTATGGATCTAGTAGAATCTGACTGAGTGCACTGAGCTGGCTCGTACGATCCCAGCCATCAGAACAGTGTATGAGGACGTGGGAGTGCATAATCCCGACCGTTCGGGCTATCAGCGCAGTCCCGTCGAGTATGTTGGCAATATGCTTGATCCAGTTGCTCTTTGCCAGAAGCTGTCGATTGGGAGGGAAAGGCACTAGATCGGACTCTTTTAGCGCTTCGATGACTGTATCAAGCGACTTCCGCATGACGTGGATGTTGTCGATTCCGAGGTAGGCTTTTTCCGCACCAGGGTAATAGTCCATCTTCTCCGAGCCAAGTCCAACAGCTTGCATCGCATACGCATTGACTGTAGGTCTGGCATCGACAATGAGGTTACGCTGCTGGGCTCCGTATACTTTTGGTGCGTCTGGATCTGTCTCCGAAGACGCCGTCAGATCGTCTGCGGTGGTCCTGCCGGTGTTCGTATTCTCGTCCACTGTCCCAACAAAAGAGCTATTAGCACTGGAATCATTCAGGTTCACAACGCTGGTGTCGGGAGTGAGTTCTGTAGAGTTTGAAGAAGAGGTATTCGCAGGTTTCCACCCACGGTTAGTAGCCCAGATGGCTGCGACAAGCCGCTCGTCTTGAGGGTTCCGATTCCCGCGCAGGCCCGGTGTGGGCTGCGAGCTTCTAGTTATAGAGCAGTTGTTGATGGGATGTCGGTAGACGAGGGCTGGTATGCGTTGTCGCGATCGGTACTCGCCGGCGTATCTGAGAACGCTGTCTGAGACGTTGGTGGGAACGACGAGGAGGGCGGGATATGTCGGCGCGTACTGTTCCACTCGTCAAGACCTGTGTTTGACTTCACATGTCACATCTGATGTACCTTATATTCCACGTTGACTTCAGAGATCCGCCAGCCCTTCTCCGTGTCCTTAGGGCTGATACCCAGCCGCTTCCATTCGCGGCGGGCGTCGTAGATATCCCAACCATTCTGTTGGTCTTCCGGCGGTTTTGGCTGGTAGCTAAATGCGAGTAGCTTGTCCAGTCTACCAATCTTGCACGAGAGTGCCCGTATGCTATCGTACACGTCACGCGCCTTCTTCTCGTTAGGGAAGAAAAAGGCAAAGAAGGTAAAGTCGCGACATCGAATGCGGATCGAGGGCTCCTGGCGCAGGATGGGCGGGCACGGTTTGAGGGAACAATAGTTGATCATAGGATACGTTATCCATACTTCTTTCTGCCGCGGTGGTTTCGCGTCTGCAGGAGCGTCTGCGGGCGGGCTGGGGAGGTAGCTGAAGACGAGATGGTGGGGCATAAGATGCAGCGTGCCGTCGAAGCGCGTGCCTCTACGAAGGAGGTAGACGCCTTCCACCTAGGAGTAGTATCAGCATGGCTTCGGGGAACCTGTAGAGCTCGCAGCGACTCGTACCTTGCTCACGCGTATCCGCTCCATAGCGACTGTAGGGTGGGTGAGAGTGAGTGCGGGCGGCCCAGAGCGGGGTCGCAAGTCGCTAAGAAAATGAAGAAGCACGCAAGGCAAGCATCTAGAGGGAAGGATACAGGCAAATGAGAGGGTCGAGTAGTCAAGCGCGCATCGTCAACATGAGCTTGTCTGCATGTGCCCGCCCTGTCACGCTCATGCCTGGTCCCGCCGCTTGTCCTAGCACCGCCTTGGCGAGCAACGTCATCTACGTCGCCATACCTAGGTAGTCACTTCTCGTTCACTTGGAAATCATAACTGCAGAAACCGTTGGCTGCTTTTCACACACGAAGTATAGGTATCATCAAAGTATCGAAGAGAAATTGCATTCAAAATGCCAAGTACGGCCTCGCTTTTTCATGTACAGAGTATATCTAGCACCTAGGTATCCAAGCACAAAGTGCGAGAAGCTACATACTTACTAGACCTCGCCCGTGAGCTTACCTGTGCCATATACCAGCGGCTCTCTGCTCGAATTAGATGTACATGACTCCCAAAGACCATCATCTGCGCTTTCAAGACAAAAATATTGCTACAGCTGTTAATAGCTAGATACCAGTGGGCATAGACACGAAAACTGGCTATGCACAATCCGGAATCTGCGCGATCGCTGCATCATCTGTCCATCTAAGCCGGAGGTGGTGGCGGTGGTGGGGGAGCGTCGCTAGGTGGGGGAGGAGGAGGCGCCTCGCCCGGTGGAGGAGGGGGAGGCACAGATCCAGACGGCGGTGGGGGAGGTGGAGGAGGGCTGCCAGCACCACCATAGCTCTGGAAGAGAGGACCCAGTCCAGGAGGAGGACCGGAGGGAGGAGGAGGAGCGCCATAGCCAGGGGCACCGTAGGCACCAGGAGCGCCCATGCCAGCGTTCTGGTCGTAACCATAACCACCGTATCCGTAACCAGCACCTGCCGCAGGCGCAGTGGGAGTAGCAGAAGCCCAAGGAGCCGCACCGTTGCCAGCACCGTAGCCTTGGTCGTAAGACTGACCGCCACGGCCGCCGCCACCAGCCCAGGGGGGAGGAGCAGCAGAGTTGCTGTCACCGCGACCACGGTCATCGCCATCGTTGCGCGCCCAGGGTGCAGAGCCACCAGTAGGACCACGCTCCCAGGGCTTGACGGCACGCTCGCCTCCACCGTAACTGTCTCCACCAGCAGCACCGTTGCCGTTGTACTCGATCGCCGCACGAGGCTGTCCAGGAGCACCGCCCATCTCGGCCATGAAAGCATCAAGCTCGTTCTCCGGAGCAGCGATACGAGCTGGCTGACCGCGGTCGGGGAAACGGTTGTCGTTGCGCCAGGGTTGTCCAACCTTGCGGTCGGGACAATCGCGAGCCATGTGACCAGCTTGACCACAGACGCGGCAGATGATGCTGGCCGTGAAGTTCTGTTTCTGCGGGCAGTCGTACTTGCGATGACCGATCTCACCGCAGTTCTGGCAGGCTTGGTTCTCGTCGTCGCGAAGGGTACCGTTGAGGGCAGCAAGCTCACGAAGTTGGTTGCGCTTGAGTTCGTTCTGACCTTCAGGGATGGAAGCAGCCTACAAGTGTTAGTACATGTACATAATTGGGAAGAGAGTGGTGACTTACAGTCTCGATAACGTTGTGGATAAGCTTCTTCGCCTTGTTGACCTTCTCCTCGGTGTCGGCCATGATCAAGCAGTGGAGATCCTCCTCCTGGTTGCTGGTATGAGCTGCATCAGAACGTCCTTTACCCTCCTTGACGGAGCCTTTGCCACGGATCGCAATCTTTGCCTGAGATTCGGTCTCCATCTTCTTGAGGGTGTTTCCACGGGGGCCAATGAGTAGACCAACTGTTAGTGCAAAAAGCTGTGGTTAGTGTATGATCAAAAATTTGTGAGCAAAAGGGTTAGGGTTAGTGACATAGCTGTACTGCAGGTGCCACTAGATGCACGTGAACATCCAGCAGTCTGAGCAGGCTGGTCAAGACAAAGGCTGGGGTAAAGCAAAACAGGGAGAGGGGAGTTAGAGGGGTTAGTTCCGTACTGAAGTTAATCTCCGGGTAGTCATTGACCGGAACGTAGACTTTCTCCTGTGTCTTAGTAGGCCGCCTGTAATCGGCAGGTGGGTGGTAGTTAGGAAGCGTCTTCATCGCCTTCTCAACGAGCTTGTGGCGCTCGTCTTCGAGGCGCTTGCGGTAGCGGAACTCGCGAGTGTTGACACGCCGACCGAAGTTGTCGTACTGGGGAGGCGGCGATGGGGACCTGTTCATGTTAGCATCTCCAACGTTTGAGGAGGGAAGCCACGTACCTGTCACCATCGGCTGGGACCACGTCGTTGATCTTGAGCTTCTGGGTAATCTCCTCAATGCGCAGATGCAGAGTATACGCGTCAAGTTGCTCAGTCGTCATGGCGGCATAGATGGCAGTCGGTAAGCCCATCAAGCCAGCAGCCTTGTTCTCGCTCGCGTCACCCCATCGGTTGCGCTTCTTGCGCTGTCGCGGACCGTCGGCAGAGTCTGCAGCTTGGTTGTTAGCAGATGAATGGAAGTGCGTGGGAAGACTCGACTTACTGCGCTCAGGACTGCGGCCACGCTTCAACTCAGACAAGCCTTCGGCGGGCGCTGATGGGTTGTAGCCGCCATCATCGTCGCCTCCACCGAAACGACGGCGAGTACCTAGAGGGATGTTGTTAGAGCCCGTGATGCCCTGGTTGCGCCACGACATATTTGCTGTTGACAAGAGGTTGTGGTTGCGATGGAGGTGTAGTTGGTGAGAAAGTGGAGGCTGTCGCGACGAGGCAAAGGTTCAGGCTAGTAGGGAGCGCGCTTGGCCGCTTTAGGCTGCGGTTTGCTGCCCTGCAGATCACGTGCACGCCGCTGCGCGAATCTCACGATTACATTCACATATTCGCGTAGTTCGTAGCCTGATATCACTATGTAAGCTTGTCACGACGCGCCTGTCTCTAGTCATCATATTATCATGTCCGAGACCCCGCGTTGAGTGCGATCTTGGCCCATTCCAGAGCCTGCGGTTATCTCAACATCAACCTTATGCGCGTGCAGTACAACCAGACTGTACAGCGCTTCGTCAGCGATACTAGGGAAGCTACCGCCGTAAGAGTTTATCGACAAGTTTCCATTTTGCTGTGTCGAAGACTCACTTGCCGAAACCTTTGGGGCTGCTTCCGTTCTCCGCTTTGCTTAACAACCTTGGAATCGTTCCTTTTGTACCTAATGTTTCCAGCTGCTACCACATTTGAATCTATGGTTTATTCGACGAAATGCTGGCCTCTACATAGTCCTCACCAACTTCCGTAGCTGTACAAGGGACACGTTTGATGGCCGAGTTACGAGTGCTGGGGCTGTCGTTGCTCTTGGATGATGCAGGCTTTGGCAGTCGCTTCTAAGCAATGAGCTTGCTGAACTAGCTGTTCCTTGACACCAAGGCTCTTGACAACAGTAGCTAAAGCATAAGATTCGGATTCTTGAATCGCTTACGAATCGCCGCAGTTTTCGCCGTCGGCACTATTAACAAAGCATGAAGGCTGGTTCCGCCCGAAGCTGCCCCTCATTACACCCCACTTTCATCATCGCAGCTGTCTGATCACAAAGCTCCACTACGTCAGTTCTCAAGCTATATAGCTACAAACTACAGCGATTCTTTGCTTGTTTCTGTGTCGACTTACAGCTACCGATCCATCGCAAAAATGTCTCAGCAATCGGACATCAACCTGTACACCACCCAGACGCCTAATGGCATCAAGGTCTCCATCACTCTGGAGGAATTAGGGTACGTATCTTTCTGACCATGTAAGACGTATCCTGCAATCTCGGGGATGTTCCTTGGGGAAACCTAGCAGTACATGTTTCTATTTCCATCTCTTCCGCTGTCAAGGCTCTTGTCATTGCACGAGTGCGAAAGAAATGGACAGCAACCTCGGTATTTCCGAGAAGCTTGAAGTAAACGAAAAACAAGCCAAGAGATGAATTTGACCTACATGAAGTACCTTGGGGTATGGTCAGCAGCATCTGCACATCGGAAAGTGCCTGTTGCGATGGTTCACTTTTGTGCCAGACCTCCGAATGCCTCTGGATACTGCCCTTGGCTAGCCATGGCGGAATAACGTACATTTCCAAAGCGCTACATCCTTTTACTCATAATTCACAGTGGTTATGGAAAAACGATATCATGCATTCAAGGTTAGCTCAGCTTACTGATATCCGCAGTCTCCCTTACAAAGTCCACAAGATCGACATCTCCAAGAACACACAAAAGGAAGAATGGGTCAGCCTTGTGTTCCCCTTTCGCATCAATACCATGCTAACGGCAGATAGTTCCTGAAGATGAACCCCAATGGACGAATCCCCACACTGACCGACACCTTCACCGACGGCGAGACTATCAACCTCTTCGAATCCGGAAGCATCATGGAGTACCTTGTCGATCGCTACGACTCAGATCACAAGATCAGCTTTCCCAAGGGAACACGAGACTGGTATGCCATGAAAAATTGGCTTTACTTTCAGAACGCCGGCGTTGGTCCGATGCAGGGTCAAGCTAGTAAGTATGACTTTCCCTATGCTTTTTCTTTCTGGTTTTTGCTTTTTCACGGCAGTCCCGAGATCATGTGGACTTGTCACCCGCTGCAGCAACGGTTCGTTACCGCTCTCAAGGTGGTGTCGTCATTCAATACCATACATGGAGCGGCAATGAGATGTTGTTATGTATAGTAAGATGGGCGCAGCATGGCTTGATCGCCGAGTCCATCGTCTTGGCTTTGGTACTCAGGTTCCATCGACCCAGATGACCGTATCGAATCAGTCTTCCCATAGTAAGCGAGGAAAGCCTCACGAGACAGCATTACCGCTCGAGCGGCTGTGCTGTAGATCTTGGTTCCGATGTGGGGGTCGGTTCCGATGTGGAGGTATTTCCAGAAGCCATCGGAGGCACAGTCACCCTGGTGGCGCAGATTACTGCCTCTTTGGCGTCAGACTGCTTCACAATACTGCAATGGA